AACATTAAACATGTTAACAACACAAAAGCCATATTAAACGCAGACTACTTTAGGCCCAGAAGTAGGATTCGTCACGTCGTCACTTAACGACCAGATAGCCAATGGATATTTTTAGCATGGTTAAAGTAGATGACCTCTTGCGGCTCTCTGAGTAATTACCTCGTTGAATTACCTGTAAAACCTTTTCATATGTCATATGTGAAATATCGATCTAGCTACTCACTGGTTAGTGAAGTCTTATCAAAAAGACTTGAGCTGAGGAGTATTTCCATTACCATCTTGTTATTTTGAAGATAATGTGCCGAGCGAGGAGTGCAGCAAAGCAACCACAGCTTACAGCATACACTACTTTACTGTCTATTTTAGTCTCAATTGAATCACAACATACAAATTGAACATTATGCTGTATTAAATAAGATTAGAAACAAGTAATTAAGGCCATGACACCATTAGCATAATGTTTAATGTGATATTTAATGAAGACAGCAGTAGGATCATTTTCCTATAGATTCCTATGAGATTGCATTCTTTTTGCAAACAGTGTAGTCATCCACTGCTGGTCATTAGGAAGAATGCAAGTTTAAGGCACTCCAGGCTGGTCTTTATGCCTTAAAGTTACTTCTATCTTTCTGAAAGTGTGATTTAGGCCCGACTGTAAAGCAAAGTAATAACAGAAAACCATGAGTAGAAAGTGAACACTGCTTCCACATGGGGCACAAATTTAAAACAAATTTTTGAATTAAAGCCATGTTAAATTTGCTGCATATTCTTGATAGCTGGCCTTGATATTGCCTGTTTGGGGCTTAAAATGGACAATTTGTAAATTTAGGAACCACTGGGAATGGAATAAGTCTTTCCTTTAGGTTTGATATGAACACCTGTTGGTTATTCTGCTCTTACAGAATGGCAAACTCTATGTAGAAAAGTGATGGGGGTGGATGAATGGGTCAACAAAATATTGAACTTTGTCTTGGAAGATCACTGTTCTGCTTTCTTATTTCTAATCTTAATGAAGTGGTTCTGAAGGTTCTCTGACTGTAAGCCTGTAACGGCCACATGGAGGAGCAGAAGTAACCCAACACTGATATGTCATCATCTTTTAAGTGGCTACGGAAAACATGTCGTTATCATTCTGGAGCTTCGTGATTCATTTTCGGCTTGATTGATCAGGTATGCGCTGTCATTTTTGGTTTCTCTTGGGGCAATAACACATTTGTTTACATGATGAGTGCACTACTGTTCTCACTAACCGTGTTTTTCTGATGTTCAGCGAAGAGCATTTATGGTATAGAGAGTTTTCTACAACTTTTTCACCAAAACAACTAAGTGCTGTGGTTGAAAACAGCACAATGAGCGGTGAACCTGACTAGCAAAGCTTAACGAGGACCTGAAACTCATTATGGAGTGCCATAATGGAGCTGAAAAGTCTGTGTAGGCTCATTTACAAGCAACACCTTTCGCAGTGTCATATTGTTTTTCACATTGTCATTCATGTGATTTTAAAGCCAAACCACATTGCCTTCCTGATTAAGTTTTTGTCTGCCTTAATCTAACCAAACCATGCACAGTTATACAACACTGTAAATTGGAGAAAAATACCTATATTTACATATCAGTGCCCCCAAGTGTGACATTTTATTTTGTTTCTTTAAAGCCAATCTTGGGAACATAATCCAGGGTTTGATTAGGTTTAGAAAAACCTAATTGGTAGAAAAATTCAAACAGAAATGTCTTGGACATTTACGAGATTTTAAAAAGATTGTAAATCATCTGAAAATGTGCACAATAATGGGGCCTTTAACGTGAGCCACTGGGTCATTAATTACAGGCCAAATCAAACATCTCACTTTCATATTTCAGTTATATTTTAAAGCACAGCAAATTATTGCATGCTGTAATTGCAGCTATCTCATAATCATCACCTTCCTTTAATGAAGACATCTGATGATGTGCCCGTCTATCACCTCTAAATTTGTCAACCCACAGAAGCCGTGGACAAGTTAACCACACTTGCTTTTACTGCATTCTTTTGAAGCCATCAAGATTTTACATCAGTTTCCAGTTACCACATAGCTCTGAGTACGAGCGCGGTTATAATTCACTATTTATAACTCCTTCTCACCCACTTTAACCCACTGGCTTACGTTCAGGTATCGGTGGAAAGTTTAGAATCCTACGGAAAAGGCTGATATTGTACGGGCCCCACCAGGATTACAAACACTTTATCCTGCTCGCAATATATTCCAAGTTATGCTCCTGTGCACATGAGCACATGAGGGCCACCTGACCTGCTCTTAACAGAAAATGAAAGCTGATTTGTGCCACACAAGGTGATGGCCTGAGGCTCTAACCGGAAGCAAGAAGAGGATAGAAGAGGAAGTGGTGACTCCAGGGGTGAGCGAGATGGGTGGAGGTGGAGGTGTGTGTGGGGGGAGGGGTGCCGCTCACACTGTGGCCCTCTCACCACCCGTGTCAACACTGATGACTTCAGCGTGCGCCCTTGTGAGCTCACCTTGCTAGAAGAGACGCAGGAAGTGGGATTAGAGTAGTGACAGCGTCGATGGGGATAACTGTGTCATACCTGCACTGGAGGGGGGTTTCATCTATTAATGTGTGTGCATGTGTATGGTCACACACATGCAGCTGTTAATACCCCAGGGTTATCTCTTTCATCTGTGTTTATAAAGCAGATCCCCCGTGCAGGCCGGACTCGCTGACCAGTGACACACAAACACTAAGAGGTCTTATTTAGTAGAAGAGCCTGCTGCTGTGTGACAGCCAGCTTCCTGTTTCATCCAGCTTTGGAAGCAAATGATGTGTGATTGGTTACAAACGGTGACGCTTTGACAGTTTCAGGAAACATATGTGAAAGTTAATTTTGCATATTGGGACTGAAACTGTACCTGATGCTGTCTGAGGTGTTCTGCCGCCACAGGGCGCACATGTTAAAAAACCAAGTCATAACAACATTATATAATACCCATACTGAGTACTGAAAATGTAGTGTCAGTCCAGCAGTAAGACCCATTTAAACATGCCATTATCAGGGCCCTAAACAAGACTGTGCTTGGAGGGGGAATGGTTCAAGTTAAAGGTAAATTTCAGTCATTTTTAGCCTCAGTAACAGTCTCTCTTTGTTGTCACTTGACTTAAACGCATAGATTTTTATTTATATTCTGAATATAGACAGATTTTATTTTTTAAGTGTATTATTTTTTAAGATTATTGCTCAAATAATGGGTACTTTATGTATTTTATGTACTGGAAATCATTTTAAAAGATTACAAATATATTTAACATAAAAAATAACCCAAAATATTATTTAAAAAAATTTAAAAATATAATCAATTTCCTATAAAATATGATACATTTCACTGGGCTTTATTTTTAAATAATTTCTATAACACAGTGAACTCTCTGAAGCTGCTAAAACAGTCAGTCTCGTTGTTGATTTTTTTCTTAATGTAAAAAATAATAAAATAAAAAATAAACTTGTACATTTTGACGTGTTTCGTGATTGAGACCGAAAATGAAAATAAAATCGTGTTGCTGATTCAAAATGTGAACTAGTTTATGGTGAAAAAAAACCTGAAACCCTGTGACACAGAGTGAGTAATACTTTAATAGACTTGTTTTTATAAATATATGTTTCAGCTAAATTACAATAAATCACACACGTTAACGAATAAACTTTAACGTTAGAAAGAAGCACGGTGTGTCGAGCTGGTAGGAGATAAAAGTGCATTTTAAGTAGTTTTATTCAGTCTTATTAAAAAGTAGAAATACATAAAATTAATAAACTCGTCTTATATGAACCGACTGCAGCGTTGTTTATTTCATTGCTAAATTAAATGCGAATTTAACGTGCGGGACTTAACATCTGCGAATGATTGTTGCTTTGTCAAAATTATCAGTGTTATTATTCTAATTATTAAAAACCTCTGCAGGCCTTTAATTGAATTCCACCTCTGACTAACTTCATTAAATTATTATTACCTATTTTCTCTTAAACAAAATCGTGACAGCAGGTTTTAATGTGCGCAAACGAACCAAAAGGCGCAAAATAGCATCAGTGACAATTAAAATTAAAATTATAACATTAATTTTTATTTGCTGTCACTTCTAAAACATTTCTGCTGTGTCCATATTTTAATTTTAAAGCAGAAGACTACACTCTACTCCTCTTTTTCCCCAAAGGTCTCTGCGTGCGTGTCTGTGTGTGTCTGTGTGTGTGTGGGTGTAATCTCGTGTCTCTACTGAGGGGATGTTCTCTTTCATATCTGGAGCCTATCGCGCCCTCCCCTGCCTCTGACACACCTCCAAAATATGACCACCTACAAAATGTATATATCATAGGTTAGAAAAGCGAGCATGTGTTTGAGTTACTGCTAGCGACTCCACACGTCAAAAAAAGACAAACACCAACTCTGGCAATAATAAAAGTTTATCGATGAACAGACTAATGAGGCGTGAGGGATGTTTTTATATCTGAACCTCTGAGCGGCGGAGACACCGAGTTAAAAATTCATGTCGGTGCGTTTTGAGTCGTAGGTGAGGGCAAGTGACTTTGTTGTTTTTTTGGTCTTGGGTTTTTATGATTATCATCGTACATGTTTTTACTCAAACGGAGCGCAAACTTATGACATTTGACACAGCCTGGGAGCGGGGCTGCAAATGGGCGGCATAGGTGGCAACCTCTACCTCAGCATGTTGAATGGGACTGAAACGCAAACTTTCGGAAAGAACGCCGACATCAGCAGTCACTTCCACCGCGGCGGCAAGGATCTAGCCGAGTTCAAAATGGGGATTCAGGACGCGAGGTTTTACTACTCGGACTCTGTTCAGAGCGGGCAGGACGCGCTGCCGCTGCCCTACCACTCGGACCAGGCGGTAGGAGGATACGGAGCGCAACCCGGCAGGTTTTACGCACAGACCCTCAGCAGCTGCCCGTACGGCGGCGTGCGCTCTCCGCCGAGAAGCGGAGCCGGGCAGGCTTACATCCCGACGGCAGGAGACGGGTTTCCCACGGGCGGTAAAGACGTGTACTCCCCTTCACCGGAGAATTACCCAGCGAGCTTTCAGCACGGGTTCCAGCGGCAGCCTCTCTACCCTTTACCTGGGCTACAGGTGTGCGGGAAGACTCAGGCTCTGCTCAATAACTACCCACTGTGGGCCAAGTTCCACAAGTTCCAAACCGAGATGATAATCACCAAGCAGGGGAGGTGAGTCTCACAGAAAAACTACACATTGTTTCCTCCGCTGTCGATTAGCATATTTAATGGAGCAAAGAGGGGGTCATAGAAAGCGTGAATTTCACACCGCTGCCCTTTGGTTTTTACACTTTCTAATTTACTCACTCACCTGTCTTATCTTTACCATGAGCAGCCTCCGCTACGCCACAAGAGCGCACTTCAATTCACGTCTAAAACCAGTTTTATTTTTCTGTTTCCGAGAGTTGAATGGCGGTCGTCTTCCAGCTCTGCAGACTGTGCAGGCATCACCGCCACGTCTCTGCTCAGGTGACGTGGTTGTTGGGAGTTTTTCTGGGAAAATGATCGAAAGGTGCAAAGTTTTGCGCAAAATGTGCCTCATCCGAGCTGTTGCCTACTTAAAGGATGTGAAAGTACGACAGTTTCTAAAGAATTTGAGTTTTAAATTTGAAATTTATTAGGGTACGCACAGAAGGCCACTATGTCATTTTACTTAGAGGCATCTCAAATGTTTGTTACTATGCAAGGAATTACAACCGAATTAAAAAGTTGTTGAAGAGCCAAACAAACTGCAAAGTGGAGGCTCAGCTGCAGGCTGAGCTGTTCTTTGACCTATAAAGTCTCTTGGGTGCCTTCACTTTATATCAGCACCTCTTCAGCTGCCAAAAAGGAAATTTTACAGTTTTTAGAACCATCAGAGAAAGCGCTAATCTTTAAAAAAAAAAAAAGAGTTACGTCATCTTTTTAACCATCCGTCATTGTCAATAATCGACGTTACAAAACTCAATTTGGGAGCTAATCAAATTCTTGTTCGTGCAGACAGCGAGGAAGAAATCTAAAACAAGATTCAAAAACAAGCCTCATAGCGATACTCTAAGTGGGAAGCTTTAAAAAAATGACGATATCGAAATTGTGATTAAAAAAACATGTGGGCTAAAAGCCTCGCGCAGGCAGCTCTCTGCAGCGCACACAGCTCATGGCTTGAGAGGGGAAGAGACGGCGCTGCCGGGCCTCTCTTGATAGGTCACCGAGCATTAAGATGCAGTCACGTCGATGAGGATTAATTCACTAATATGCGACACTTGTGTCTGACACAAGGTTTCAGGCCATAGGTTTCTCATGGCTCGGATCTGTGCACGGAAAACAATTGCGCTGTCACATAATATGACACTGATATTTCCAGTGGCTTCACTCGGTTTGTCTGCTGAAACTCAACATTTTTGTATTAAAATGGCTTGAGTAAAAATTCACAAAGTTTACTCAAGCCATTTTAATCTATATATCTAAGGTTGTGTGTGTGGTGTTGTTGTCGTTGCATGTGGCGTTTTGTGGTTTTTTGAAACAGATGAATTTCAGTTTGGTAGGTGCAGCTTGTGTTCTTGCAAAATATTCCCCTTTGACCTGCATGGCTTCTTTGCCTTCTGGTTTACTACTGAAAGTTATTCTGAGTGCAGTACACTTACGGTTTTGGGGGTAGGAAATGCTCCTTTTAGATAGACTTTTGATATACGTTCATGCCTTTTATCTGCTAAACCTGATCACAAATTGCACATTTAACTGTTCGCATGCTTCACAAATGGATCGTTTTAGAAATTCCCTTCAATGCCTTGTAAGTCATTTTATGGTGTGCACAGGTTTTGCAGAATTAGCCAATGATTTCGGCATTTTAGTGTTAAAAATGTAGTATTTTATTACGTTTTTATCCAAGTGGGTGTGTGCGTGTGTGTGTTTGCGTGCGTCTTCTATTATTTGACGTAGCAATTCCTGGCAGTTTCCTCTGTAGACAAACTCACTGTGGTAAGTAGCATCATATATCAGGTCACGTAATTAAAATGCATGCAGTACACGTTTATTTTGCTCCAGCTAATTTCAGCTTCCCTCAGAGCAAAGAAAAAGTCAAAGACTACCCGCAATAATAATAGGGTCGGTGAGCACGGAGGTGTTATCCTTCCACATGTGACAAAAAGCAAATTTTCTTGTTGTGCACAAACCACAAACCTCATATTGTGAAAATGTGAAATCCTGGCGATGAAAATGTTCTCTGTCTTTTATCTTTACCCCTGTTTCTGACACTCACACTTTTTCGTAACATAAAAAAAGAAAAAATCCTACAAGATTTTGGAGAAGGTGAGCAGAGAAACACTAAAAAAAGAAAAAAAAACTTTCAATATCAGAGGCAATATCCTTCTTAAAATTTTCATCTTGGGTTCAGGCTTCCACAATAATTTTGGTGTGATTTTAAGAGAGGAGTCCGGGGGTCTGCAATGTTAATCAAAACCTCGGTATCAGTAGGCGAAAGGGTGAAAGAAACTCTAGAGAAATGAAGTGAAGGGTCAAACATTACTGAAGCTTTAGATGGCCACACTGAGGAGGTGAGGCACCTTTGATGTTCAGGAAGTAAAAGACTAGGTTCTCTTTTTTTTTCTGCTTTCTTCAGCCTCCACTAGACGGTGGGTGTACAGCCTGACAGATCTCTCAGAAGCTCGTGTAGCACACCTGGGCTTTGAAATCTAGACACATTTTCTCGGCCTGTAGCGAAGGGTGGGGGCGAATTCATCTGCACTTCTCATGAGCTAAATTCAGATTCACCTCACTAGCTGATACCATGGCACAGGCTGTCCTCGGCTAAGACGAAGTTTGTGTCAGCGCAACCGTGTCCAAGGGGTCGAACAAATTGTGGTAGAAAATGGGAAAAAGGGGAGATTTTGTGATTTAAAAGAAATCAAATGACTAAATTTGAAAAGAGAAAGTGAAGCTTTCTTCCTTATTCATTTGTTTGACCAGGGATCCTACACCTGTGGTACTCTTGGTGCAGATATGAGTCAAGAAGGCAAACTTTTCCCTGCAGCTGTTTCCAAGAAGTACATTTGTGGGGACTTTTTTTGGGAAACTGCAGTAGAAAGCATCTTCATTTTTTGTTAAAAGGGTTGTCAAAAGGGTAGGAAATCACCT